AGTCTAATTTAACAATTAATTTTAATGAAAATGCTTAACATAGCTGTGACAATTTCTATATTTCTGTACTATTTTAATGTGTATCATTTGGTCCAAAAACTGGGACGTAGACACTATAATGCATAGAAATGTTTAGGAAAAATTACAGCTCCAGGTATACAAATTGACATATGAGTAAAAACTCATTGATAATTTTTTAGATGCAGAACACACTTTTTAAGCAGGGGCAATGGTACATGTAGGTAGCAAAGAAAAAAGAAAGTAGCAAGAGTTTTGAACAGTGCCCTAACTGGTTGAATAAGTATATACCACAGCCTTCCAAGGGCACTGCTTGAAAGAGAACATCACTTGGGTATTCTGTTGTTGTTATTACCCCAAGGAATATCCCCTGAGGAGGGAGCCACACTACTCTGAAGCAGAGAAACGCTTGTGGAACACTTCTGAGCTTGGAAGGTTGATATGAGGGATAAAAATCACCTCAATGAAACTGAACAAGGATAATGGTAAAGTTTAGTCTTGGGTTCCAAAAGCAACTTATGCAAAAATCTATAGTAGGTGGCGGGAGAGAAAGGATGTAATTTAGCAGCACTTATGACTCACTAAATTAACAGCAAGACGGAGTTAAGAAAATCCCCTGACCTCAGGCCATACTGATAAAATAAAGTCTTCTGAACACGGAAGATGACAATCCCAATCCACCCTGAGCTGGCCTGAGTGTGTTCCCTTCTGGATATTGCACTATGAAAAGGAATTAAAACACCAGGGTTCAAGCAGAGGGGAACAAAAAGGTGGGGGAAAGGTGACATTGCTGGAGTGTTTTTAAGACTAAGAAAGAGGGGCTGGCCTGGTGGCATAATGGTTAAGTTTGCATGCTCCGCTTTGGTGGCCTGGGGTTCGCCAGTTTGGATCCCAGGCACAGACCTAAACACTGCTCATCAAGCCATGCTGTGGCAGGTGTCCCACATATAAAGTAGAGGAAAATGGGCCTGGATGTTAGCTCAGGGCCAATCTTCCCTAGCAAAAAGAGGAGGACTGGAGGCAAATGTTAGCTCAAGGCCAATCTTCCTCAAAAAAAAAGACTAGGAAAGAGATCAAGATTTCATACATGTGAAGCACTATTACAGAAGGTGGATCAGATTTCTTCTGTGTGACTCCCGAGGCATCAGATCCCGCATAAAACAAGGGCAGCTGGAACTCAAAAGGTCTTAAGATGTTCCAAAGAAGCTGGAGAGGAAGAGACACACGGGAATACAATATCACTAGGGATACCAAAGTATGAAGTCCAGTGTGAAAGAGGAAGATGGAGTAGAGAGCCTTTAAAACTTCACCTGTACTCAGAATCTATAATCTTAAGATTGCCCTGACCCCTCTCACAGACCAAGGCTCTATGGAGAAAACAGCATTTTCTTTCATCTATTCTGCTTGCTCTACATTTGCAGTCTCAACCCACAGACTGATGAGAAACATGATTGCAGATACTGGAAAAACTCCTAAAGTACTGAATTAGAAGTCAGGAGACTTGGGTTTTAGTCTTTACTCTGCTATTGACTGAGGGTGTTACTCTGGATGAATACCTTAGGCTCTGCAAAACTCACATTCTTTATCTGTAAAATGAAGAAGCTGTATTAGAGTAGTTCCAGCTCTGTAAGTCTTGAGTTTCTGAGACGAGGTACACTAATATCTTTTCTATGAAACATCACTGAATTTATAATAAAAAATTAAGGTGTTAATGTCCACGTTCCTAAAAGTAACAGTCAAGTAATACCTGAATGATTCCTGACAGATTCCATCTTACTTAAAAACTTCAAACATAAAAAGGAGGTGTAAATAAATATAAAACAGGAATAGGATTAACGAAAGTTACTAGGATTAGATGTTAAGGATATTTAACTAGTATAGCAAAAATTTTCTAAAAACTACTTGTGTCCTCTGGTTGTAGAGTAAGATTTACTTTGTACTTAACACAACAGAGAAAAGTTAAAATAAAACTTGAGCTTGGGCTAACTGCAAACTTTACATTAAGTGCTTCGAATCCTTTTTGGCATGTTTTATGGGTTACTTTAAAAGCTAACCAGAAAGGGGACATTCAAGTGCTACATAGTTCAAGGCCTATGAAGTATGTTGTTATTGTTTTTTAATGAGTGTATATTAAAACTTTGCAGAACTGTAGGATTTTCTAAACATCTAGAATTTTACCTTCAGAGGCAAATTCAAATAACATAATCAATGAACTAGTTGGCAAATATAAAAAATTCATTTTAGAGTTCAAATTAAACATCAAAAATGAAATTTCCAAAAATTATGCATCCAATAAGCCCAAGTGCTCAGGAGTGTATTTTAATTTTCCCCCCTTTCTAATTACTGCTAGCACCACTGAGCTACTATCAAGCCTCCTGATAGGTGGCAATGAGGGAATTCAACAGCCAGTCCTTGTCCTCTGTGGGGCTACAATTGGGAATTTTCTTGATCATGTGCCCTCTACAATGAATAGAGCAAAAATGAAACTGCTTTTACACTTGCCCTCATAGACCTCATCTTTCCAGAGTCTCTGTTTTTGCAACACATCTTCACATATTCAAAAGGTGAAATAAATAAAATTCTCACAAAACCTTTCTGGAAGTTCTAATTTATTGCCCCCCAAAATCACTCAATCTGTGGTAAATTAGAAAAAGCAGGTTCCAGCTTTGGTCTCTTTTTAGAAGAAAAAACATCTTCATTGTGAAAAAATGAGCAAGAAGACCCGTAGAGACCTGCTCAATAAATCTCGTGTCTTCATTCCATCATATATGGGTGGTAGGTTATGACTCAAGGTCTCCCTTTGTTTCAGGGATTAAAAAAAATTATAAATATAAACCTTAAAAGCACTATGAATAATTAGTCTAAAACTGCCAGAAGAATGAATAGATAACATTTTAAAAGCCTACGTATATTTGGAAAAGCCTTTATTTATTTCAAATCTGTTTTGCATCAAAGCAGTAGCCTCCTCTCTACCTTGTGTTCATCATTAAGTACGCAGTGACACTTACACCAGCTGTGCAAGACAGAGTATCAGAGCCCTCAAGTACTCCCAACACAAGTGTGACAGATCACATGCAGTTGTGAACATGTTCATGCAGTGAAATTCTGCATACGCATTCCGGGAGAATGTTCCATTACTCTCTAGGAATTAAGAAAAGCTTGAGGGATCCCCTTTAGCACAGAGTTCTAACCATCACGGACTGCTGTTGTTGGGAGGCAGCCGCAGGGCTACATGAAAAAGACTAGACAGAAAAGATCTGATTCTGGTCTCAGCTCTGCTACTTACCAATTATATGACCTTCAGAAAGTCCAATTCTCTAAATATCACTATCTACCTCAGAGATAAAGGATTAGTAAGGATTAAATTAGATAAATAGGAAAATGTTATGAAAATTGTAGGTGTTGCTTTGGTTTACATATATACTTTCTGTTTATACACAAATGACCTGGCACATCCCCTTGTGGCTTTGAAAGCCATCCTCTACTATGCCATTTGCCCTCCAGCCACAGATAATCATGCTTTCCCAGAAACAGCCCCAGGCTTCTGCTTATGCTGACTGATCTGCCCTCTGATCCTCAATTACTGAAAATATATACTCATCCTCCAAGACTCGACTCAAATGTCATCTCCTCAAGGAAGCTTGCTAAATTCTTCTTATGGAATCTGTCACATTCTCCATTGATCTCCTGATGTGCTTCTTTTATATCTTGGTTATAGTCAGTCATGCACTGATCTAATGGTAAAGCTCTGGGAGAGTGGGTGTCACATTTTATTTCCCTTCCCTTCCCCTTAGGTTTGGAATTTGGAATTTAATACCAGCTTTGTTTTTTTTTGAGGAAGATTAGCCCTGAGCTAAAATCTGCCACAATCCTCCTCTTCTGTGTTGAGGAAGATTTGCCCTGAGCTAACATCCATGCCCATCTTCCTCTACTTTATATGTGGAATGCCTGCCACAGCATGGCTTCACAAGCAGTGCATAGGTTCACACCTGGGATCCAAATTGCCGAACCCTGGGCCTCCGAAGAGGAACGTGCGAACTTAACCCCTGTGCCACCAGGCCGGGCCCCTAATACCAGCTTTACAACTAAGTAGTAAACTCACCTTCTCCAGATACGTAAAGGAAATGGGTGACATAGAATTACTTTTCTACAGATTAATATAGAAGCAGAGAGAGAACTAAAATTTTATATCTTTGTTTCAGAATCTTTAGAATTTTCATACTGGATAACAGTCATAGGTAGCTTTCACTTAATTCCTATTTAGATAAAATTTCACTACCATATAAATGATAAAGCCAAGAATAAAGCCAAATTATTACCTGAAAATCCTATCTTGGGGAATTTTTGATTATTGAAATAACTAATATTCTAGAGTTTGTTCTCCAATTTATTGATTTCATATATACAGAGGTCTACATACCAACCTGCTACATTTATATAAATAGCTTCTTTTTATCTTGGTGCCCATAGCTGTTCCATCACCATTATCTGACTCGGCAAGCCAGCAGGGCCACAGAGAAGCAGGTTCTTTACTTGTGTGAGTCTTCTGAAGGACAGGAACTCTAACTTAATACATTCCTAGTATTCCCAGAATCTAACTTTGCACCTTGCAAATAAATAGCACTCAGCAATGTTTACTGAATTAACACCCCTGAATTCCATTCTCTAGATAATGTGACCTCATTATATGTTCTGGGAGAAAGATGCCCAATAAATCTCATGTCTTCACTTTCATCACAAGTGGGTGGTAGGTTATCATTCAAGGTCTCAACCTTGCAATAGACATTAGTGATAAAAATAGGCTTTAAAGCATAGATTTTCATGTCTATTCTCAAAATCATATATTAAATTTCTAGTAACAACAACTTATTTAAAAAAGCCCAAGCATATGTGAATAAGCAATCTATGGTAACTTTTTCATGACTCTTAGAGAAGGAAGTTCCTGGATCTTCACTGCTTCAAGAACACAAAGACAAACTTACCATCATCTAAAGTGATGTCCTGTAGACCAATTGTTGAAAAGTTAGGTTCCTGCTCTTCAGGTTCAGGTTTAATGTTCACAGTTGCCTCATCAGGTGGAAATGATGCTGGATCACACAAACTGTGACATATTAAGGATGAAGGTGCAGAAAGACCTCCTTGGCCTGTACTTTGTGCTTGAGTTGAGTGCTGTCCAGATTGCATTCTGGTGGCTAGAGACGGTGATGAGGCAGTTCCTGAGCTAGGAGATTGGTAAGGCATAGGCTGTAGCTGAGGAGATGGTGGCCCAGACAGTGGTGAACTGGCCAGGGGATGAGAGGCTGCAGGGGAAGCTGTTGTGGCAGACCCTGAATGTGAAGGACCATACGTAATGGGTTGTAACTGAGGGGAAGGCTGACCTGTGACCTGGTCAGTCACTGGAGAAGAATGAGATCCTCGTACTGTGTTTGAACAATGGTATCCCATTGATGGCAGATGAGGCAGAGTCTGCACAGAATGAGGTGTGTGAGCTAAGAGATGTCCTGCTGAGCCTGAATTTGAAGAATGAAAAGGTATGGACGATGGTGGTTGACAGCCAAGATGTATTAAACTAGGAAGAGCTGCGTCCTGCTGAAACAAAACTGGATCAAATTCTTGACTAGAGGCAGCATTAATAGGAAGACAAGTTGGTCCATTGTACATAACATTAGTTTGCATAGGCTGATAGGAAGACCCCAAAGGAGGTGTTGGTGTGACTTGAAAAGGCTGGTGCATAACTGAAGAAGGTATCATATGCTGTTCTTTACCAGCACTCTCATCCCTACACTGTAACTGTGGCAGATGGGATGAAGTTACCATGGGTGCGTATGTTTGCTGGATGGGACAAACCAAGCTTCTCTGTGCTGACAGTTCACTCTCATGTGGGTGTCCTATATCTGAGGAAGGCCTCTGGGTCTGGGGAGGATGAGGCATAGGCAATGATGAAACTGAAGACAAGTCAATCTCTTCTCTGTGTTCTTGCTTCATCAAAACTGAAAAGAAAATGATTAAAGCAAATGTTATTACATAATACATAAAATAATCATGAAAGGGCTTCATTCTAGGCTACACAACTGTAGCACGCATCCAAACTAGGGGATGAAAGCTCAAACACCTTCAGAGAAGGCAGAAAAAATAAAATTGTGAAGTCAGCAAGCATAAGACAACACGGAGTGGTTCTTGCTCTAAAAGTAATCAAGTTAAAAAAAAAATACTGCATAGAACTCTATGAAGTAATATGGAAAGACCTCTAAAATGTGCTAAGCGACAAAAAAAAGTGAGTTGCAGAATAATGTGAATATGTCACAATTCATGTAAAATAAAATATTGTGTGTGTGCGTATATACATATGCATGCACACATGTACACACATTTTTGCTTATATATGTATGGATATCTCTAGAAAGATGGACATGAAACTGATAACTGCTGGGAAGGGAAACTAGGTGACTAGGGAACAGGAGCAGGAGGAAGATTTACTTTTTCACTGTGTAAGTTTTTGTGCCTTTCGAATATTTTTCATCATATATATACAGTACCTATTTAAAAATAAATAATCTTTTAAAACCCCCAAAACCCTATAACCTAATAAAAGCCTTCAATTTGGGATCTCTGATCTGAAACCTACCAGTTACCTGGTTTTGCATGTTATATCTGTGAAATAATAAAAAATATATATTGGTCTCTGTTCCTGGTTTCTGGCACACAATTCCTAAAACTCTTGTGATTACCTAAGTGATAAGAACGCTAGGAGCACCTCTTGTTCTAATATTGGTCTTTGACCTCAGTTCCTGAGACAGAGCTCCTGAAATCCTCGTAATTTCCTGGGTGATAGGAGGGTCTTTTGTTCTAATGAGGTGACTCTGGGTGGGCTCCTGGATGAGGGCTAGTCACTGGAAAAACCAAGCCATGATTAGAAGCTTGGAATTTTCACTCCCACCCACCTCCATTCTCTTGAGAAGGGAGAAGGGCTGAAAACAAGAGTTAATGATCAATCATGGCTATGTGTTGAAGCCTCCATAAGAATCCCAAAAGTATGGGGTTCAGAGAGCTTCCAGGTTGGTGAAAACGTGGAGGTAATGGGAGAGTGGGACACCTGGACAGGGCATGGAAGCTCCCTGTCCCTTCCCACATACCTTGCCCTACACATCTCTTCGATCTGGATGTTCATCTGTATCCTTTATCATATCCTTCAACAAACTGGTAAACGTAAGTAAGTGTTTCTCTCAGTTCTGTGAGCCACTCTAGCAAATTAATCAAACCCAAGGCTTGGATTGTTGGAAGCTCCAATCTACAGCCAGCTGGTCAGAAGCACAGGTGGTAACCTGAGCTTGTAACTGACATCTGAAGTGGGGTGGGGGGGGGGGGTGCCAGTCTTGTGGGACTGAGCCCTTAACCTGTGAGATATGACATTATCTCTATGTATATAGTATTAGAATTGAGTTAAATTGTAGGACACCCAGTTGGTACCACAGAGAATTGCTTGTTATGGGGAAAAACCTCCACACATTTGTTGGCTAGAAGTATCAGAAGTAAAGTGTTCTGTGTGAGTAGTAAAGGAGACTCACAGGAGAGAAACACGGTGGGAAGAACCGGAGTTCTTCCTTATATAAGAGGGGGGAAAAAAACTGAGTGTTTTTCCTTTGCAGCATCATATACCAGAAATCATGAATCTGACATTCATAGAGCTTTTAGTTTACAATGATTTTCACATGTCTCTCATTTGATCCTCAATCATCATCAGATCCATATTACAATAGAAATAATAATAGGGAATCAAAAGAAGTACTGGAGGGGCTGGCCTGGTGGCACAGGGGTTAAGTTTGCACGTTCCGCTTCGGCGGATCAGGTTCACTGGTTCAGAACCCAGATGTGGACATGGCACCGCTTGGCAAGCCATGCTGTGGCAGGCATCCCACATATAAAGTAGAGGAAGATGGGCACAGACATTAACTCAAGGCCAGTCTTCCTCAGCAAAAAGAGGAGGATCGGCAGCAGATGTTAGCTCAGGGCTAATCTTCCCCAAAAAAAAAAAAAGTACTGGAATCCACAAAAACCCTGTTGGAGCTAATAAACAAATTCAACAAAGTCGCAGGACACAAAATCAACATGCAAAAGTCAGTTGTATTTCTATAAAGTAGCAATAAATAATCTGAAAAGGAAATTAAGCAATTTCATTTATAACAGCATCAAAAAAATAAAATAATTAGGAATAAATTTAACCAAGGGAAGCAAGACTTATACACTGAAAACTACAAAACACTGTTAAAAAAAATTAAAGAAGACCTAAATGCATGGAAAGACATTCTGGGTTCATGGATTAGAAAACTTAAATTAATTGCTAAGAACACAACACTCACCAGAGCCATTTTCAGATTCAATGAAATCTCTATCAAAATCCCAACAGCTGTTTTTATAGAAATGGAAAAACCCATCCTAAAATTCATATGGAATGTCAAGGGATCCCAAATATGAAAAATAATCTTGAAAATGAAGAACAAAGATGAAGGATTCATACTTCCTAATTTCAAAACTTACTACAAAGCTATAGTAATGAAAACAGTGTGGTACTGGCATAAGGAAAGACATACGGACCAATGAAATAGAATAGAGATCCCAGAAACAAACTGGCACATATATAATCAATTTCTCTTCAAAAAACAGTGCCAAGACCATTCAATGGGGAAAGAATAGTTTCTTTAACAAATGGTGCTGGGACAATTGGATATCACATTCAAAATAATGAAGATGGAACTTCATCTAACATCATATACAAAAATTAAGTAACTCAAGTGGATCAAAGACCTAAACAAAAGAACTAAAACTACAAAACTCGCAGAAGAAAACAAAGGGCAAAGCTTCACGACATTGGATTTGGCAATGGTGTAAGTATGATACCAAAAGCACAGGTAACAAAAGAAAAAGTAAGTAAATTAGACTTCATCATAATTAAAACTTTTGAGCATCAAAGGACACTATTAAGAGAGTGAAAATAAAACCAAGATAATATTGGAAAAATATTTGCAAATAATATTTCTGAAAAGAGTTTAATATCCAGAATACATAAAAAACTCCTACAGCTCAACAAGACTGAACCAGAGATTTGAAGGTGACCCTAGGACTGATCTAGATGGAGGTGTGATGGGGAGGGGGGTTTACCAGCTCTTCTCTAGGATTGCTAATTATGAAGATCAAACAAACCTAGAGATGTCAAGTGTTGAAAGTCCTCCTGAGAGTAAAGCCAACAAAAAGGGAAGCAGTGTTAAAATGAAGAGAAAACCTAAGCCCTGAGACAACGCTGCTTAAGCTGAAGCATGTCTGAAGCCAGCATTCCAGTTAATCTTCCAGCTACAGAAACCAATAAATTCCCTTTTTTGTGAAGCTAGTTTGAACTGAGTTTCTGTCATTTGCAAGTGAAAGTCCTAATTTACTTCAAAACAATCTTTATAAGGTAGGGATTATTATTTTTCCCTGCCTTATAGATGAGTATACTGAACAGGAGATTAAAGACACTAAGATCTCACAGCAACTAAGTGGCATCACAATACTTGAACCCAGGTTTTTCTGCCTTCAAAGTCCATGCTTTTAATCACCGCAATTTACTGTATGACCAAGGAGGATTCCACTTCACCATGCCATCAAGCAAGCAGAGGCCATGAATACCAACAGTATCCTTCATCACATCAAAAAACGGAAAAGATCCATGATTTAGCATGAGTCTGTCTGATGAAAGGACTGCTCAAAGTAGAAATAAATGCATTTCGTTTATTTTATTTAATATGCATATCAAAAGAGAAAAGAACCATCAGTTAATTTACTATGTGTCAAAACAGTTGATTTCATTGTTTCTCTTGGCAAGCACTTCAGTCCATTTAAAAATTATATACCTTAGCCTCCTATTGGAGTACTATAAATCATTTCAAAATAATTTTCCTGAATTCACATCTCATTGTTCCTTCCAAGTTTCTACCACTAGTTGAAAATTTTCATGATCTTCACAAAAAATAAGGACTTCATTTTACGTCAAAAGAAAAATAACAATAAGACCCAAAGCAAGGTCAAATCTCATTTGACCATTTACCAAACCCTGCAAAAGTACAAGTCTCTTCACATAAGCATGGTCCGAATCTGAGGAAACCAAAGTAAGAATTAAGATACTTCTGATAGTATATTTTACTGTAGAAGAGGTAATTAATGAAGCACTTGTTTCAGGGTACATTTGAGTTCTACATTTTACTCTGGCTTCCCAGCAAGAACAAGATGAGCGCATCATTCATTTGCTTTAGCCTCTAAATCTGCCAACTGGCAAGCCCACCCCTAACAATGAGACTACAACAGCAAGGACACAGAGAAAGGTATATCACCAATCTTCTTGTTGCTTCTGCCACAATGCTCATGTTCCTGACCTAGGCCTCCATCAAGTTTCTGATTCTTGCTCAGGTGTTTCAAGTATGGTTCACTGTGTCTACTGCCTCCTGTCCTCTCTAGTATCTTGATGTACTTACTTTCCTTCTGATTTTGAAAGAATTAGAACTTTCTCCCTGGACCACTGGATTCTTTTTTTTTTTTCTCTTCTACTTCCCTACTCTGGTCCCAGGAAAGCCACAGTGAATCTTACACCCAGAGTTCTATTTCTACATAAGGAAGGATAATACCCAAGAAAGCCTACTTTCATCCTTTATTTAATCCTGAATGGAGCAGGGGGTGGGGAGGCCTTTCGTTACATAAGTGGTTGGTTATCACGCACTAAAAAGAAGACTGAGCGACTGAAAACTACAGCATAACATTAATCTTTTTTGCATGATCCAGCCTTTTTTCTATGTTCCTGATCCACATCTGGGTACCCAGACTCAGAGTTCTGCTCTCTTAAATTGAGTGTATTTCTACTCTGCCAAAGCAGGTATCACTTTTTGTCTATAAGGGATTCAGACTCCAACCTGACCAAACCATAGGAAGTCCTCACTACTGGTTTATGGTAAATTCGTTCTTGTTTGGAGGAAAATAATAAAGAGATCTTACCATATCTAGAACAAGTTGAGTTTTAGAAATAGATTAACTCTACCTTTTGTGTTATATATCTCATTCTCAAATTTAGAATGTTGATAGATGGAGGGACCCAGAAAAAAAAAACTGGTCTAGTGGTTTTCAAACCATGAGAAGCTTCACACTCTTCTTCAAGTGGTGGATATGGAAGAGTAGGATCCAAAGTGTAGGAGCTCTGGATTTCCTCTTCCAGTGCAAACAGAGCATCTAAAGCCAGCTTTCATCCTTTTTTATACATTGGCTTTCTGCCTAAGATTTTATTTGAAGAATAAAACAATTTAACAATTTCAAAACCATTGCTTTAGTCTTATATCCTTATTTTATATGAGTTAATCTGTGGGTACTACCTGTGGCAGAGCCAAGATCCAGTCTCCTGACTGTAAAGCAGTCTTTCTCTCCCAATCAGAATAATCCAAGTCAGTCTGTCCAGTCAACTACTTAGAATACAGAATATACTTTCCTAGAGGCAAAATACTATTCCTAAGAATTTGGCTCTAATATTATCCCTAGAAGCCCCATTATTCTAAAACCAGAGCTCAGATGGTACCTCCAAGTACAAATAACTTCTGAGCTTCAGGGATGCTGGGGTGGGGGTGAGGCCTCCTACACTGGAAGTTCTGAAGCTAGAGGTTGGATAGAAGTTCAGACAGCACCACTAGGGAAGGGCTCTTGCTCTATTACCTCTTTGGCTAGGGTAATTTGTGAATCATACACATATGCTAAATCTCTAATATAAAGAATTCATACTGGGGCTGGCGCCATGGCCGAGTGGTTAAGTTCGCGTGCTCCGCTTTGGCAGCCCAGGGTTTCGCCGGTTTGGATCCTGGGCTCGACATGGCACCACTCATCAGGCCATGCTGAGGCAGCATCCCACATGCCACAGCTGGAAGGACCCACAACTAAAAATATACAACTATGTACCAGGGGGCTTTGGGGAGAAAAAGGAAAAAATAAAATCTTAAGAAAAAAAAAAGAATTCATACACATTAATAAGACAAACATAATAACCCTAACACAATAAAGACAGGGTCATGCAATAGAATACTAAGAAGCTATTAAAATTCTGTAAACCTCTATCCACTGACAAGGAAAAATAAAAATGTTCAGGTTACAAAATTAGTCTATACAGTGTGGTCCCATTTCTATTTTCAAAAAGTTGTGTCTATATATGGATCAAAAGGATCTAGAAGGGGGCTGGTCCAGTGGCATAGCAGTTAAGCGTGCACATTCCACTTCGGTGGCCCAGGGTTCACAGGTTCGGATCCCAGGTGCAGACATGGCACCACTTGGCAAGCCATGCTGTGGCAGGCATCCCACATTTAAAGTAGAGGAAGATGGGCACAGACGTTAGCTCAGGGCCAGTCTTCCTCAGCAAAAACAGGAGGATTGGCAGCAGATGTTAGCTCAGGGCTAATCTTCCTCAAAAAAAAAAAAAGAAAGAAAGAAAGAAAAAGGATCTAGGATAGAATGTCAGTTTTCAGAGTGGAAGAGAATTTGGGTGTTTTAAAATATTTTTTCAACTTGTCTTTTCTTTCTTTTTTTTAAAGATTGGCACCAGAGCTAAGATCTGCTGCCAATCTTTTTTTTTTCGTCTTTTTTCTTCTCCCCCAGCCCCTTGGGTACATAGGGTATATTCTAGTTGTGAGTGCCTCTCGTTTGTGCTATGTGGGACACCACCTCAGCATGGCTTGATGAGCAGTGCCATGTCCGCGCCCAGGATCCGAACCAGAGAAACCCCGGGTTGCCGAAGCAGAGCGTGCGAACTCAACCACTCAGCTATGGGGCCAGCCTCTCACCTTGTCTTTTTTTAAAAAAAAAAACAAAAAAACACAGTATTGTTATTTGCTTTTATAAAAATTTTATCCAAAATTTAATTTTAGAAAAAAATTTTAAAAAGCCAAATGCTACAGAGACATGACAGTAACTGTCCAAAACACTTCTGTGTGTCCATTCTTCTGTTAGTCTGTGCCACCTGATGTTTGTGTTCTGTCAACCATAAGGCCAGTGATGACAGCTGTAGTCCAATCCAATGTTCTCTTTGCACTCTGGGGCCCCATTGATTTCCATTCTTATATGTAATGCCCTCTAGGACTCTGCTTTTATATTGTCCTCCCAATTCACAAGCTGATAATGTAAAGGTATTATATTCCCTCCTTCCTGTTTGCCTGTTCAACTACTACCACTATGACGGTGGTGATCAAAACCTCTAATCTGCTGACCCTATTGCCTTTTTGTTTTTCTTCAATCCCAGAAGCCCTCTCCCTTCCTATTCAGGTTAGATTCTATAGTCCCCCATCTGAACAGCATTTGATAACACTATTGGACCATATGTCCTTAGTAAATCTCACCCTGGAGGAGCCCTACTATCCATATTTTACCACATGCCCTGAAGAATCTGAATGTTGCTTCAGAAAATTATAAAGCAGGGCTAATTAGTATCTATAAATTCATGAATATCAATATCAAAGGGGCCCTTCAATCATGCCTAGAATCCTATTAGGTTTCTGTGGCAACTTACTCTCCCCCTCCTTACAACTATTTCAAACTTCTCTACACTCTTCAAACTGTCTAATCACCCACACTCCCTCTGCTCACAACTGGTGACTTCACGTCATTCATTACAGAAGCAATGCTGAAGCTATCATATGGAAACTCTCTAAACTCTCCACTACCAAATCTACAATCTTCCTAACGTACATCCATCTTGTTCATCTTCTTTATCTTCCCTCCTGTTCCTTCAGCTACCGAAGGCCCATCCCAACTTCTATATTTTAAATCCTATCCCCTCCCACCTTTCTCAGAAACCGGATATTCTTTACCATCATTGATGCTCTTTCCTCTGTCTATTCAAAACTCTCTTGCTGTTTGAATCACCTTTTTAACCTTCGTGGGCCTCTCTCATATAAATCTTACACTCCACAGTTAGTAATCTGAGAAAAGTCTGAAGCGGTCATTGACACGTCATAAAGAGACAGAAGAAATATGAAGAAAAGGATTTCTGAAACACAAATCTGATCATGTCACCTCCCTGTTAAAGCTCACTTCTTACATCTCTTTTAATACTCCACGATCCAACCAACCAAAGGGCCTTTGCATATGCTGATGCCTTTATCTGGAATGTTCTCCCACACTTTACCTAGCTTAGCCATTAACAGTATAGATTCTACAGACAGATTGCCTGGATTCAAATCTCACCTCTGCCATTTATTAGTTGTGTGACCTCAGTTCACCCATTTGCAAAGTGTGGAGGGCAACAAGTACCTACCTTATAAGAGTTATGTGAGGATAAATGAGTTATTAGGTATAAACTGCTTAGAACAGTACTGGGCACACTCTGAATGTTCTACATGTTTCCTAAATAAATGAATAAACCTGAGATGTACTCTAGCATAATAGCTAGGAGCCCAAACCCTAGAACCATACTGCCTGTGCATGACATTTGGCTCTAAGACATATGCTGTGAGACCCTAAGCACTTATTCGCCACTCAGTTTCCTCATTTGTAAAACAAGATAATAATCTATCTCATGGGTCTATCATGAGGATTAAATGAATAAATATAGAAAGGGCTTAGAACAGTACTAAGAACAGAGTAATGTTATATAACTGCAAACTATTGCTATTATTTTCCAGTTATCAACTCAAGTATCACTTCCTCATGGAAGCCTTTTCTCAACCCACCAGGCTAGGCAAGGGTCCCTCTGTCATTTTCACACAGTACTGTGTCCCTTTCTTTCAGAGTCCTCCTTATCTCAGTTTCCAATTACAACTTTGTTATTTATTTATTTATTTAGTGATTTATTAGCTTCTGTTTGTTCCACTAGATTATAAGTTCCATGAGAGAAGGGACTGAGATAGGTTTTGCCCACCTAACAGGCACCCTCAAATACCTTCTGAATTAATGAATGAATGAAATAGCTAACCAAAATCTTTAGTTTTCAAAAGGTTTGTATTCTATTTGAAAATTATCTGAAATATTTTATTACCAAGTAATGTATTAACATGATCAAGTACTATTAATTTTCAGAGTATGGAATATAAGTGGACATTAGAGGCTATAAATTCTTTAAAGTCAGCTTTAAAAAATATGAATGACAAATGAATGACCGCTAATGACCAGTAACCTCTCAAATTCAAGTGTTTGTTCTTTTCATTTACTATAAACCATTTACAAGTTTTCAGAGGAATAAGTTTTGGAGAGAAAGGTTCACTATGATTTTTTTTTATAATATGCTTTGGTGACTAACATAGCACCTAGCACCGAGAAGGCCTCTATAAATATTTGTTCTCTAAGTATGTGAACATCAGCATAAATTACTGCCTATAATATTTACGTGTCACAATCAAGACCTGGAAAGTTACAGCACTTGATCTCTGCAGAAAGAGGTGTGGAAGCCTCCTTTGTTAGGGTGCATCTATAAAACCAGGAACTCTGGCATCAACTTTATAGTCTCCACAGCCATAGTATGCTATAGTCACTGCTTGCCAAATGAAAATCTAATGAGAAATTTTTCATCTGATTGGGAACAGCTGAGATGAAGACACTATGAAACAGGCAGAGTGCCTTCTTGAAGTGCTAAGGGTACAAGGGGAGTTCACACATATTCACAGACACCTGCCCTTCCTGTAGTACTGGTGATTGTTGGTAGCTCCTGAAAAACAGACTTCAAACCTAAATTCAATCTTTTAACTTCCTTCTAAAAAAATGCCTACAGAATAACAACTGATATCACATCTAATATTGAAAGTCAACACAAATTTTACAGATTAGGCATATGTTAGAATTTTTATTGATTTTAAGTACCCTACCTTAAACTTTCTACTTTAGGATTCATTGAATAACATTTTATTCATTATGAAAGAAAGCTCTATAGTAAACCATCACAACAACTCCTCGTACCTGGTGTGTAAGTAAAACGTTGAGACTGGCTTTTTTTCCTCTTGCCATTGCAAAGATAAAAGTGCACCTGCACTGCAGCTGTAACTGCTGGGTTATGATATGGAGGAACTTCAAGGACAATATGAGCCTAAGGAGCATGGAAAGCAAGATTGTGTTACATTCAGAACTAAAAATGAAATGCACCTGCTAAACTCAGCACAACTCATGAGTCTTAATGACCCAGGCTCTCCCACGATAGATCATTATGCACATCAACTGCTCATGTAAGTCATCTGGATATTTATTCTATGGATACTTCAGTCTTAACAGAAATAAGCACTTTAAAGTAAACCATTACAGGAAAAATTGCCTTCTATTCACCCAGTTGGGTTTCTAGTTGCAGCAGAAACAAAAACAGTCTTACATACTATGTAATGAGATATTTTGCTCTACTCAATATTGCATGTTACTATACATCTTAACTGGAAGTTCGTTCTGGTTTTTAACCAAGTCTAATATTTCTGTAGTTCCATTATAGTTTAGATTTCTTATCTTAAATTTTATATTCAAAATGTTCTAAGTTGGTAATACACAAAATCTGTATCAATATCAAGAATAATTTTACATAAGCAATGTGGAAACCTTTAGCCCCAAACTAATTACAATCCTTAATCTAATTTCTCCAGGTCTTTGGAAAGCACTGTGAAAAGTGGTATTCCCTACCCTAGAGACAATTCTGTCTCCATTCCAACCACGAGGAACGGACCACAGCTTTCAGTGTTGAATCCTGGAAGGCTTAAGGCTGAGGAGTCGAGAATAGTATACTAAATACACAAACCCCAGAGGGCTTGTCCTCCTCCTAGTTTTGCCCATTACGTATGTTCTTGAATGAATTTGTTTGATTTCTTCACCAAATTCAGAGAAAGAAACTAACAACTTCAGTAAGAACCTTCTAATGATCTTTCATTTCTAATTTCTCTCTTCCTACACACAGAAAATGGGAAGAAAGATATCAATTGTTTACCTTTCCCAAACTTTAATTTTAGTATCAGGAAAGTATCTATCTCACATCCAAACTTCTAAAAATTCTAATTCTATCTTTCTACTACTCAAAAGATAAAAGATTTCTCATCTATACAATAAAGCACCATTATCCAACTTTCTCATTAAGCTTCTTAAATATTTCTAAAGACATAACGTAAATTTCTTACCCCCTGACATTTTTCCCTGATTATTTTCCCTTCTACTTCCCACTGAGGTCGTCCATCTGTTGAAAGAAACAATTTACAGTTAAAAGTAATTCAAGTCAGAAACATATAGACAGAATATAACATATTTAGTGTCATAATTTCTTGGCAAAGGGAATCTTTTTCTCACTGACTTCCATTATAAAAATAAAATGTGTACCCATGAGGAAAAATGGGGAGAAAGAATTTGGGCTGTTCGAGTTAGCAGGCCCCACAGAGTTTATTCTACCAAGTGATGTTTGAAAATCGTCTGAGAGTACCTCCACCAATAAGTGGCCAACTCTGCTTGTATGCCTTAAGTAATGGTAAATTCACTCCCTCACCAAGTAATCCATTTCATCTTTGGACAATAATTGCTGCTGGAAAGCTCTTCATGATAGATGACATCTGTCTCCTTATACTATCCAACCACTGGTCTAAGTACTACTCCTTGTAGCCACCACCGAAAAAACCTTGAGTGCTTCTCTGTAAGACAGTATTTCAGATGTTTAAAAGCAGCTATGTTTGTTTGGATCTCCTCTTCGGCTGGTTAGCAGCCCCAGTTCTGCATCTATCCCTTACACAATATTTTAACCTCCTTGGTCAGTCTTCTTTGAACACTCCTCCATTGTGATTATCTCCCTCCAAAGGCACCAGGCCTAGAACTGAAGAGCCCAGGTGAGAAATAACCCAGCAGAGTAGAGAGTGACTGAGGCTCTTGCCACCTTATGTGGAAATGTTGTGTCTCTGTTAAAAGTTTTCTGGGGCAGCTGCACCAGTCTAACCCTTACACTTAATGTGTGGTCAGCAAGTGTCCCTCAGTCTGCCACATTTCCTACTACCAAGCTCAAGCTCCCACATTGTGCCCTTATGTAGCTGCTCCCCTCCCCCCCCCACCGCCCTGCAACTCCTGTTATGTTAATTTCTCCCTACTAGATTTTATTTTCTTGGATCACTTGGCTTGCCAAGATATTTTTAGGTACTGACGGTCTTCTAAAATATTTGCTAAGCTTTCCAGATTTGTCATCTGAAGATCTTGTCAACATATTTTCTGTCACTTTATCCCAAGTGAATTGTTCACCTGGGGAGGGCCCCACCTGCTACTAAAAGCTCTCACTCCAATCTGATGTTCAGCTATTCTAAACCATTCTTTTTATATCAATGGGCAGTCACTCAGTGACTAACCCATACAAGTATCTTCAGAGCTAGCATGACTTCTTCATCTGGTCTGTGAAGATATCAGGAGAGACTCAATCAAATGCCTTCAAGATTGTGACTATCATTTTCCAGTCCAATAATTAGATAATGACTACCCATGTGTAAAAGAGACTCTACAGAGAAATGCTATGTCTCCTTAGAATTATAGCTCAGTTCAGCAATCATTTGCTGGGTCCCAACATGCCAGGCACTTTGGGTTAATGAGATAATGGAGATAGGATACCCTGCCTTCAGTGTGTGGATGAAAGGCAAATACAACAATTCATTACAATGAAATGTGGTGGTTACAATAACTAATAAAGGTACACTCTGGATGTACCAAGAGCACAGAGATCAGGGTCCTTAACCTAGTCTTGGTGGGGTGGTATGAGACAAGGAAGGCTTCCTGAAGAACTCTTGAACTGAGGCTTAAAGATAAGGTGGAACATAGATGATGTAGTCTATGCAGAAGAGAGAGCATGAGCAAAGGCAAGATGGCAAGAAACTACGATTTAGGGAACCATAAGCAGCTGTGTTGGTGCAGTATTAAAGTACAAGTCAGGGAGCAGTAAGAAATTAGGCTGGAAAGATAGGCAACAGATTGTGGCCTGAATGCCACATTAAGGAGGCTAAAAAATAAAGGGATCACTGAAGGTGCTTTCAGAATGGGAGTAACATGTTCACAACTGCAATCCCATCCAAAGCAAGTAACTGCCACCATGGAACAAGATTCAATCTAAATCAAAAGCTCTTAAATGTAAAGCTCTGGGTTAAATAAAATGAATTCTATAATGAAACTGCCTTAAACATACATATTTATTATATTCAGGCACTAATGAATTTTTACAATGGAAAGGGACAGGTTTGAGATACTATCTCTTCCTTATACTTGTTTTTCGTTGCTGTTGCTGTTGTTTTCTTTAATGAGGTAAGGCAGGCTTGGGCAATCCAGATACTTAATAAGAAAAGAATAAGTGTTACCTGAAGAATGAGACAGAATTGCCGATAATTTTTTTAAGATGGTTGTTGAGGATGTGTGTGTGTGGTGCATTTTACTTTGTGCTTTAAAATTTCCCTAAGTTGTTCTTTTAAAGGTGACTTGAGATAAAAATAAATGTAGGGGTTGGCTCCGTGGCCGAGTGGTTAAGTTCCTGCACTCCACTGTGGCAGCCCAGGGTTCGGATCGTGGGCGTGCACATGGCACCGCTCGTCAGGCCACGTTGAGGCAGCGTCCCACAACCCACAACCACGAGGACGTGCAACTAAGATATACAACTGTGTACAGGGGGAGTTTGGGGAGATAAAGAAGCAGGAAAAAAAAGAAGATTGGCAACAGTTGTTAGCCCAGGTGCCAATCTTTGGGGGGGGGTGGGGGGGGGAAGGAAGATTGGCAACAGTTGTTAGCCTAGATGCCAATCTTTAAAAAAAAAAAAGGGTAAAAAATTTTGTTTTCTTTGCTGAATTCCTCTGAATAAGCCATACAACTCCTAAGTTACTTCATGAATAATGGTTATTAACAATTTGCATTTTTTAAATTCAATTTATTTAAACTTAAAAAAAAAAATAGTTCATCCATTTCTCCCAGCCCTCACTCCTGGCCTCTGGCACCTACCAATCTGTTCTCTGTTATCTACGAGTTTTTTGAAAAAATTGTTTTTAGGGCCCAGCCCGGTGGCGCAGCGGTTAAGTGTGCACGTTCCCCTTCTCAGCGGCCCCAGGTTTGCTGGTTTGGATCCCGGGTGCGGACATGGCACCACTTGGCAAAAAGCCATGCTGTGGCAGGCATCCCACATATAAAGTAGAGGAAGATGGGCATGGATGTTAGCTCAGGGCCAGTCTTCCTCAGCAAAAAGAGGAGGATTGGCAGTAGTTAGCTCAGGGCTAATCTTCCTCAAAAATAAATAAATAAATAATTAAAAAAATAAAAATGTGAAAAAAAATTGTTTTTAGATTCCACATAAGAGATCATACAGTATTTGTCTTTCTCTCTCTGACTTATGTCACTTAGTACACTGCCCTCAAGGTCCATCCATGTTGTCACAAACAGCAAGAGTTCATTCTTTATTATGGCTGAATAATATTCTGTTATATACATACACACCACAGTTTCTTTATCCAGTCATCCACTGATGGGCACTTAGGTTGTTTCCATATCTTGGCAATTGTAAATAATGCTGCAATGAACATGGGGGTGTATGTATCTTTTTTAGTTAGTGTTTTCATTTTCTTCAGATAAATACCCAGAAGTAGTATTGCTAGATTATATGATAGTTCTATTTTTAACTTTTTGAAGAACCTCCATACTGTTTTCCATAGTGGTTGCACCAAATTACATTCCCACAAACAGTGCACAAGGATTCCCTTTTATCCACAACCTCGCCAACGCTTATTGTCTTTTTGATAATAGCCATTCTAACAAGTATGAGGTAATATCTCATTATGGTTTTGATTTGCATTTTCCCTGATGATTAATGATGCAGAGCATCTTTTCATGTACCTGTCGGCTATTTGTATATCTCCTTCAAAAAAGTCTATTCAGATCTTCTGTCCATTTTTTAATCAGATTGGTTTTTCTTCTGTTTAGGTGTATGAGTTTTTTATATGTTTTGGATATTAGCCCCTTACCAGATATATGATTTGCAAATATTTCCTCCCATTCAGTAGGTTGCTGTTCCCTTTTGTTGATGGTTTCCTTTCCTGTGCAGAAGCTTTCTAGTTTGATAAAGTCCCATTTGTTTATTTTTGCTTTTGTTGCTTTTGCTTTTGGTGTCAGATTCAAAAAATCATCAAGACTTATGTCAAGGAGCTTACCACCTATGTTTTCTTTTAGGAGTTTTATGGTTTCAGGTCTTCCATTCAAGTCTTTAATCCATTTTGAGTTAATTTTTGTGTATGGTGTAAGACAGTGGTCCAGTTTCACTCTTTTGCATGTGGCTGTCCAATTTTCCCAACACCTTTTATTGAAGAGACTGTCCTTTCTCCATTGTATATTCTTGGCTCTTTCGTCTTAAATTAACTGATTACATATGCACTGGTTTATTTCTGGGCTACTTTGTTCCATTGACCTATGTGTCTTTTTTATGCCAATATTGTAATATTTTAATTACTATAACATTGTAATATGGCTTGTAACCAGGGACATGATACCTCCAGCTTTACTCTTTCTCAAGATTGCTTTGGCTGAATTATTCAGTGTCTTTTATTGTTCTATACTCATTTTAGGATTGTCTGTTCTATTTCTGTGAAAAATGCCATTGGAATTTTGACAGGGATTGCACTGAATTTGTATACTGCTTTGGGCAGAATGGACATTTTAACTGTATTAATTCTTCCAATCCATGAGCACAAAATATCATTCCATTTATTTGTGTCTTCTTCGATCTCTTTCATTAATGTCTCATAGTTTTCAATACACAGGTCTTTCACCTTCTTTGTTAAATTTATTCCTAGGTATTTTATTCTTTTTGATGCAATTGTAAACGGGATTTTCTTTTCTTTCTCTTTCTTTCTTTGCCAAGGAAGATTAGCCCTGAGCTAACACATTGCCAATCTTCCTCTTTTTTTTCCCTTGAAGATGATTAGCCCTGAGCTAATATCTGTGCCAATCTTCTCTATTTTAAATGTTGACCGCCACCACAGCACGACTGATGAATGGTGCAGGTCTGCATCTGGGATCCAAATCTGTGAACCTGGGCCACCAAAGTGCAGCATGCCAAACTTAATCACTAGGCCATGGGGCCATCCCCAGGATTATTTTCTTAATTTCTCTTTCTGATAGTTCTTTATTAGTGTACAGAAAAAGATTTTTATGTATTGATTTTGCATCCTGTAACTTTACTGAAGT